ATACTGTTATGTCAATATCCTCAAACATCGATGGACATAAGGCAGATTCTAAATCTGGGGTAAGTAGTATTTTTAATTAGTTTTTAAAACTGGACTTGAAAACGATTACATGAAAATTAAGTTGATACATTTCAAAATCATAGATAAGAAAATTACTAGTATATCACATCAAGTTATACAACTATTTTAAATTATTTTTTTAAGTGTACATGTACATACATACATATGATTACATATTCCCATGCAATTTCAACCATATCTGGAAGTAAGTAAAGCACTATTATATTAACTTAGTGGTAGATGATGTGTTATACTTCCGTTTTTAATACACGGTCGGAAAGAAATGACTCTTTTCCGTCAGTTTGCTACCGTAGTAAAAAGCACAAAAGATAATACTTTATGTACCAACAATGCTAACCAGGAAATAAGCGATTATATATATAATTACACAGCTAATATGGCTTTCCTGCTTTTATCAATATAGATAAAAAACAATAAAACTCCTTTATAAAAAATAAAACTGGTAACTTATTGAGGTGGAAATGACAAAAGATCTTACATAACATTTTATACAACTATTAAAAGCATCATGACAAAACATAACAAATGGGGAAAAAAAAACATGTGATGTGTTGTGACTGGTGAAATACACAAGTCTAGGTCTTCTTCAATAACTTACTATGCATTGTGGAAATTGGAGAACTTTTGATTTATTCTAATTTTCTTTTTAATCAAGAGTAGAATGAATAACAAGTTAATGCTATCAATTTTTCAAATTGATGACGGCCGTCACGGTAGTTCAGTCGGTAGAGCCCTCGCTCCGTGATCGCCAAGCGTTCGGTACTTCGAAGTGAAAGTTTCGGGTCCTTCGGATGAAACCTTAAAAACCGGGGTCCCGTGTCACGATAGGCGTTGGCACGATAAAGAACCATCACTGCTCAATGGCCCTGAGTGCCGAGTAAAGGTCTAATTTTGAAGCCCTTCACCGGTCTATGGTGACGTCTTTATATGAGTGAAAAATTCTCGAACGGGACGTAAAACAACATACAATTAATCAATCAAATTGATGACGGAATAAAGCTAGTCCAATGTTTACTTTGAATGTAAACTATCGGAATGAATTACTGCAATTAAATATTTTCTCAGCAGTACTGAAACTTAGTTGTCGAATCCACTGAAAAAATGAAGTTTCTATCATGGGTATAAAAAAAAAACTAAAAAAAACACTATCTGGAGCAAATCTCACAGCAAGTCACATGAACTGTCCCTTTACATTCAATCTCGGCTCACCTATCCTCTTCGTGAACACCCCAATACAATGCCTCCACCTGACTCTGTCTCTAACTGCTGGCCTTGATCCACTTATTCCACCCCAGCTGCCACTGCTCCAGCTTGGTACATGTAGTCCGTCTCTATATTAGTTTTGGCGGCTTACTCTTCCCTTTCCGTCTCGGTGCCATGACGGTGTAGTGGTACAAATTCTGGTATACTCCATCCTTAGTACATGACCAATCCATTTCCTCTTCCTGAGTATTATTGTTTCACTTGCTCTTGCTGGTTTTGTTCTATGACGTAGCTGTTCATTTTATATTTTATCTGGCCATTTACTCTCAGGAATTTTTCTTGGGCATCTTTTCTGGAAGGTCTCAATCTTCTTTTTGTCTCACACAGTTGTTTTTCCATGTTTCGCTTTCATACATGAGAACCGACAGGACAAAACTGTTAAATAACTTCATTTTTGTTTAAATGGAAAGGTTGAATGAGCTCCAGATTTTTCTGAGTACATTCAAACCTCACTAAAATAGTTAATTTCTTTTCCAAAATGTTTGAAATATATCTTTATCAATCATTCTGGAAACGTGCTTTTATCGAGTAATCCAAATACAAATACGACGTTCACGCAAATACGAGGGTCATTCAATAAGTAATGCAACATACAGTTTATCATAATAAACGTAGAAGTATTTAATTTCATTTTTTAACAGCTGAAAAGTTCTATTTAAGAACTATTTACAGAAAACCCCATGCTTTTTCCTATTGTTATCGCAAAGGAATTCACTTTTAAAGTAAGCATTTTCACTGCACTGAGCTGAAAACTGTATAAAAATGATCTCTGCCAAGAAGATGAAAATAAGGGCGTATATGAAAACTGTGCTTCATTACATAAATAGCTGAATAACCCATATTAAAGATATGATTTTGATATGTGGAAAGACCAGTCTTTCACGCTGTATAGTTTTCATATGGATTTGAAAATTTAAAAGAAAAAAGTACAATTAAAAGATTGCAGTCAAACTGGTCGATCGAAATCTGTAGGGGCATAAAAAAATATCGATGCTGTGAGCAACATGATATCTGAAAATGCCAAATTTCCGCTGATAGACTTTGCTAAAACACGAAACATTTAATCGTCATAACAGTTTTTAGAGTTCTGACAAATGAAATAAATCTAAACATAATTCTATCAGATGGGTGCCTTATTTCTTTACAAATGCCTAAGAGAAAACACACGTTAAATGTGCCAATGGTCTATTTAAAAATAAACATTTCTACAAAAAAAGAAGATTTGATAAACTTGAGTGATGGATGACGAAACATGGGTGTACTTTTTATAGCCGAAAAGGAAGATCAAGAATAAAATGTGGAATGAAAGAGAAAGCTGTCGTCCTATTATTGCTAAGGGAAGCAAGGGTTACAGATATGTTTTATTAATTTTCTTTTTATTCAAGAGGTCCAGTAAAACATGTAATACAGCCAAAGAAAGGACTATCAATGGTAACTTTTATGTACAAATTTCACTCGGGAAAGTTAAGCAGATTTCCTATAAAGCAAGCCCAAATACTGGTCCCCGAAGTATTTTTTCTGCACCTGAAAACGCTACTGCAAATAACCATAGAGAAATTAAAAAAAAAATGAAGAAAGGAAAGTTTACAGAGCTTGGGAATCCCCTATATTAGCTAGATCTCAGCCATTGTGAGATCTTTTACTTCCAAAAACACATGAAACTAATCAATGGAAGATTTTACAATTTCAGGTATATCATGGAAAAGTGCTATTCATCAGTGTCTTTAGGGCATCCCTAAAGATGAGTATGGTGAAGTTTTCTGGTCATGGGTAAAAAGACTTTTGACGTGTAAATGTTAACAGGGAATGCTTTGAGGGATTGAAAGTATTAAGAATCTGCTTTACATGCTTTTCCTCTTTTTAGATGACCTTTTGCATTACTTATTGAACTACCCTCGTACTTTTCCCATATATTGATGCTTTCTTTACCATGAAACAGAAAACAGATAATCGAAAATCAATATGATGATTTAACGAATATTCAGATTAATAAGAGTTGGAAAAGTTAATATAAAAAAAACATTTGCATCTTCAATACAATGCTCCAAAAACATTGATTGGTTGTACTTATCTGCAAATTAAAAAAGAACTTTTTAGGACAATATTATCGACTTCAGGTGTTTACAATAAGTTAAATTACATGTTTAAATACATGATATGCAAGTCATGCACTAAAATTTATTGATTAAATAAGTTTTAAAATGACCTAAAATTGGCTCTATTAGATTTTAAATAAGGTCATATAAATGCACGAAACATTTTAAATGACTTTATTTAAACTCAAAAATTTTTTAAAAACATTTTTAATATATGGTAAAAAGAATACTACATACTTAAATCCATATCATGTGTCATATCAAACCTCGGACCCCATATCAACCCGAGGGCCTTCGGCTCTCAAACTGATATGAAGCCACTCGGGCTGACATGACATGATATTGATTTAAGTATGGATTATATTCTCTATATATGATGCGATAAACCTTTTTAAATAATAATGATTTAAGTATGGATTATATTCTAAATATATGATGCGATAAGCCTTTTTAAATAATTTTACTAAGCCTTAGTTTGAAAGAAATCAACTTTTATGTAATAATCTCTTGTTTTTTCCCCTCTCATTTGTCAGCAGCTCGCCTCGTTCTAAAAATTTATCAAACTCAGAGCAAGCCCTTGCGTATCGAATCAGTTGAGAGACTTAAGCGCCATATGTAGGTAATGTTGGTAATGTTTGAATATTACTACATAAATAAGGGAAGTTGATGATAGAAAAGCTGAAGTCTACGCCTTTGTCATATAGTTTAGTTGTAAGTTGGTCATTATTTTAGGAATGACTCTAATACTTGGCCAAATTATTCGAGTATAACCTGGTTTGGGTCAGTTAACGCTTTATAATCCGCGAAGCTTTATATAGGATAAAATCAGTAGAGGTATAATAAATAAGGTTCAAACACTTTCTTCAGTGACGAGAGATATATCAAGTTGTCTTTTATTTTTAGCAATTTTTTTTCCTAAAAACACTGAATTTTAAAAAATTTACATAAATTAGTTCGAAAAGATTTTTCCTTTTTTCCTGAATAATATTTCCCTTTTTGTAAATGATCCCCTGTATCACCTGTCGTATCGTGTTGGGTTTATGTTAAAATACGTAAAAGACAACATTTTGGATAAAAAATCACTTATATCGTATATATATATATATATAAAACTAATATCTAAATTTTCTAAAAGAAAGTAAATATTAAAGAAAAAAAGGTAAGTGTATGAATTCTCATTGAATGTGCGTTTTCTCGACTGGCTTATTTCAGCAGGATTTCAACAAAGACATCAGAATATGAAAATCTTTTAACTAAAATGACTCATAGAGCCGAATTAAACCGTTAAAATGTTAAAAATAGCAAAACTAGGAGTAAAGAAGATTAGATAAGCAAAAAATAAATAAATAAATAAAAACAAAACAACAAACAAACAAAAAACAACAACAACAAAGAAAGTGTAAGGATTAATGCAAAGGTAAAAAAATCATCTATTTTCATCATGTATTTCTAAGAACAGAACAAACAAGTGCCAATTCTATTTTGTTATTTCAACGAACTGTTCCACAGCTTTTACATTACATATTCCAGAACACTGCGATTGAAACATTAGAAAAATGACTATGTTTGCCTATTTCTATGTAATTCTCGTTGAACACATCCTATCCTAATATATATAGCTTCCTGTATTCTATGGTGTGGTTGCTGTCTACACGACTCTCCAAAAGACCGTAACGCCCCGTGTAAGTCTCCCACAAGATGTTGGCAAATGCCTAGTATTTGCCAGGATATGTCTCTAGTTTCTAGAGGAATACATCTCCCATCATCATAGAGCAGAAGTGTCTGCAGGTCTGTCACTGACTGTAGACACTGAGATCTATTACCTAATCTGTAGTGAGGTAACACAGACAACATTTCTACAATAAGAAATGGTGATAAATGCAAGAGTGGCTTTCATTTTGATAACTCACATATTGTTCTAAATTTATTTTTTTCAATATTAGGCATATTGTTCAAAGAATAAAGATGCACAGGCCTACCCATGCAGTTTTCATCTTTTTCGACAAAGAGAGATTACTAACAGCTTCATTATATATTTGTCTATCTACAGTTTTCATAATCATGACATAGGGCTGCGATACTCTGTGTTTAGTAAGATAAGTGTTATGCAATGACTTATCATATCTCCTTGTTCTATAGTAATATAATGCTAGATATAGTGAATGAGACACATGACATAAACATCCTGCAAGTTTAAGCATGTTACAAATCATTCTATCTAAGATGTATACTCTTTTATGTGTGCAGCATGAAGTACTTTTTGCAATTGCAAAGGCTAATGGGACTAGAATATCCCACTACTTTGTTTATGAACATGTTGTTCAGTGAAATAAAAGAATTCGGAAACACTCTTTGACAAACACAATGAATGAGATATTTTAAACACTTCCAGAAGCATTGCAGTATATTGTTTGAACACCATCTAATGTGTCCCAATTGCATCATCCAGAACATGGTGGTATTGATGAAATACGAACACAGTAATGGCTCCTTCCTGTAATTGATAACTTCCTTCAAATACATTTTAAGAACTCCGTAACATAGAAATTGTGTATGATTCATTGTACACACAAGTTGTTGTTGGGCTTGAGAAAAGAATAATCTCCATTCTAATTCGTTAGAAATCGATTCAATTTTACTTCCAATAGGAACACAGTGACAAACATTTCTTAAAATTATTTCCAACATAGGTACAGGTGGCCATGTATGTCTTTGACATCTGTCAACCCAACTTCTTGATGATTTAGGCTAACATGTAGTGGCAAAGCAAACAACATTATCGAATTCAATATTTCCCACGAAACAACTAGCACAAGGGCCATGCATGGATACATCTTCATGTCCGAAAAATTTGTGAATGTCATTTGAAAAATAAGAATAATTTCTTTCTCTCCACAAAGAATTAGATATATAAGGTCCGCCATAAAAGAGAACAAGACATTGTCCAGTGAAATCGTTTTTGAGGATGGCAGATGGCGCAGAAGGCGTAATCTGACAAATCCTGGTGGTGTGTCAGAATCTTCCATTAATATAATATCATATTTTGATGTGTTATAAACCCGAGCCTGAGAGATATCAGTTATTAGTTTATCATTACAAAACCAAAACATTTTATCCAGGTCAGATGAACTAAGCCTAAATCCCTCTCCATAACTACCACTTTTCATCTGTACAAATCCTATTTGCCTATAAAAAGGTTTCATCATCATATCAACTATGTCCTTCACGTCCCTCCTAATGGCCACTTCTGTCGGTGATCCAATCATTCGACACAGACCAGTAAACAGGACCTCTGATACACGGGGGAGGTGGTCCATTCTGTACAAGAAAAAGTAAATCAATGCCTTTAAATCTTTTTAGGCATTTAGGCATGCCTAGTAAAGAGTAATGCTGATCAGATAATCATATATACAGAGTGCTGTAATGTTTTGATTATTGTTATATTGCACGGTTATCTTTAAAAAAAAGGGATTATCTGAAAAAGTAACACTGAGAAAATTACATATTTGCATATAAATATATGTATATACATTAATTTTAAGTAAAAATGCCGAAAAAAAAAACGATATTAATTATACTAGATCTAGTTATTAAGTACTAAATTACCTGATAAATGTCTCTTTACTGATGGCGTTCTTTATACCAGGAACATTTTCTTGGTCTATTTAGCGCTCATAATACATATGCAATGCAGGTCAAATTCAAGTCCTTCCTTTCTTACTAATGTTAGAAATATAAGAATAACAGGAAAAACCCCCAGAAACCCATCAGCACTCCCTGATAAATGTTCATTTCCTCATTCATTGTTAATTTCCTTATTTATTGAGTTAAATCTTAAACATTATAAAATTGTTTGGGACACTGGGATTTGGATGACTATAATTTATTTCTGTAAGTATAAAAATTATATAGACATTGCACTCCTTCGGTAGAACATTTAGGGATGCAGTTGTCCCATGGTAAACCTTCTGCATAGCAAGCTTTTGCCTTAAGTATAATTTACACAGCATAGTAAGGCTTCATTGCTTTAACAAACCATCCTCCCGGATACTTCACCATATGCAATATGACTACATTAGAGCTTTTTAACTGTAAGCTGCGTTGATTCATTGTAAAAAGAATGTAAAAATGGTATTACCGTGACAGGTAGTCGCCCGCGTGGCGCAGTGGTTAGAGCGTCTGCTCTAGAGTCGCGAAGTAAGGAGTTGATCCTTACGTCGGGGGTTCGAATCCCACCACTGTGTGACGTGGAGACCGGTCCTTCGGATGAGACCGTATAAACCGAGGTCCCGTGTCGCAGTAGGTGCTGGCACGATAAAGATCCCTCACTCCTCAATGGCCGTAAGTGCCAAGCATAGGACAAAATTTGCAGCCCTCCACCGGCAAGTGGTGGCGTCTCCATATGAGTGGAAAATTCTCGAGAGGGACTTAAACAACATACAAACAAACTGACAAACCGTTACAGTTACTAGAACTTTGGTCGAATGTATAGATACTGCTTAGATTTTCAATCTTTCAGAATTGTAAAAATATCAACGAGATAAATATATATCACAATAGCGTCGTTAAAAAAATCAATTGGATACGATGTGAATTGTTTATTTAATCAAATCCTGCAAAGCCTGTCTTAAAACGTAATGAAATAAAGGTGTGAAATGTACATTACCAAAGAAAAAAAAGAAACAAAAAGCAAGCAAGCAAGCAAACAAGAACAACAAAACAATTAAAATGAAACAAAATCCAAACAAAACAATGAAAAAAAAAATAAATAAAATAAAACAAAAACAAACGAACAAACAAACAAAAAAAAAAAGCTCAAAAACACAACTCCTCCCTATAAAAAATTAATATCAACAAAAAATACAAACAACAAATAAAAAAAACGAGGATGGGGTGGGTAACGTGTACATGTATGTTCCTCTTCTGCGTCCGAAACTGCAGGCTGTAGAAGTTAGAAAAAAAAATACAATTTGAAGGAATCCTTCTTAAAGCTGAACATGACTCGTAAATAGGCATACGCCATTTTCGATATTACTATCGTAGATATCAGCACCAGGGTATACTCTTCGCTTTCGTTACACCTGACTGCTTTATTGTCAAGGGTATCGGAGTGGAATGGCGACCCGTGTTCGTGCTGGTTATCTTGCATTACTTTTGTTTACCTTTTATTGCAGTTAGGTATATTAGTGTTTGTATACTGCACTGACCTGTGCAACTGTTGTAAATATCTTGTTGTAAATCTCTTTGGTATCTTACTCTCCTGCATTAGAAGAAGCGCACAGTTATTTTTGTCGCTACTAAATGCTATGTAGCATACGTCCGTCTACACCGGTGACAATTGATTACACTGAACAGTGACCAAGTGAGCGGCTCTATATATACACACCTCCTAACCTTATTTGCATAAATCGGAACTTTTCGGAGATAAACGTCATAAAATATTAACAAAATCCGTAAACGTCCGAACAGCTTTCATTGCGAGAACTCTCGAGAATTAGATGAGACCAACACGCGAGAGGTGAAAATCGAGAGAAATATTCAACTTGAAAAAAGAGGTAAAACTTTATATTTTCTCGATTTGCAAGGTTTTTAAATTGCATAAAGTTGAAAAACAAACGTTTCTTTACATGAAAAGTGAAAGTATGTATGAAGTTTCTCGTTCTGTCACGTGCTATTGTACATGAAAGTGTCAAAACTGCACCTCTCGATTTTGTAAACATTTTTCCACGTGCAAGGGAGTAGATGTGTCGGTAAAGATGAACACACATACACTAGTTTAGGAAACAAAAGCACTCGTAAGTAGAAGTCGATTTATTTTTTCGATTACCTGTAGCACAAAATGGCTAAATATTTAAGGGCAAGTTTGTAAAATGCTGTAAAAGCATGTTTTGAAATGAAGAGAAAATGTAGGTGTGCTATAGTCCGTTCCTACACAAGCTATGTGTATTCAGAGATTGCCCAGTGATCTGTGAGAACCTTGTGTCTTTTTTAACACCAAGAGACTAAAATTTAATTCTATCCATATCATAGTACATGCACACAAGCTCTGCCGAATTTCCTCTACATATGTAAAGGTGTTTACATTTGTTTACATTTTGCACTTTTAATATTGTCAGTTATTTATACCAATTATGCTGTTTTCAATAGAACCTAATGATAAGAAAATGTTTGCTACTTCTCTTATTTATCACAGAATTTATGATCAGATGATGCAGCCATGCAGTTCTCACACATATCAGACTTTACAGACATGAATATTAATTTAATATACCCAAACTTTACATATGCAGTTTATGATATCCTGGAACATTTCTTGCATGTTTACTACTTTCAACTGTGAATACAATGTACTTTAAGTTAGTGGATTTTTTTTCTTATAAAAAATTGTCCATCCCAAACTAACAAATGAAATAGTATAAATAATATACAGTAACATTGCAGGCATCAATCTGTAATATTGAAATAATTTATTTAAGACCTCTGTCAATGTAAACACAATTTACAGTGATGTTTTGCATTTTTGTTTGAGAGAATATATAATTAATTTACATATGGTAAATTGATTGTTATATGTTAATATTAAAAGTAACTAATTTTTTGCTTTGTCTATTTCAGGTTTAAGTACATGTTGAACAGCCTTCTCCATAAAACGGTATGAAAAAAAAACACAATTAATAATATAAAGTCATGAAGAAATAAAAAAAATATTAAATTTAGAAAATCTATATTATGTTATTTATGTAGCATAATAAATGTGACATCATTTCAGGGCTAAAAATAATTATTTTCTTTCACTGGTCACTCTAGGGCTATCACCTTAAATTTTTTCCTGGTCAGCTCTGAGTACTTCAACTGTCCCACAGGGCCAGTAGATTTTAAAAAGACTGGCCCAAAACCATAAAGAAAATAATAGTGATATATTTTTTGTTTATATTGTGATACTTAGTAGTTTAATTTAACAAAACAAGAAAAGACAGAACTTTGCCTGACAAGTTTAGTTACTATCCCAACCATAAATGAATTTTGTTACATGTATACATAATAAACAATGACCCAATGGACACATGCCCTCACAATGTACTAGCCTAAATTAAAAATACATTAATTGGCCCCAGCCCAGTAGGCCATTAATTATTTCGAGCCCTTCATTGTAAATTTGTAACTTATTATAATTCAGTAAGTTGGCTTTTGCAACAATCTGTGCTTTTTTTTGTATGTTTTTTTTTAATGATATGTCCATCCGCACCAGTGATGATCCCACACAAATTACACACACAAGAAAATAATTTTATTTCATTAAAAAAAAATAAATGGGCTTTACAGATTTATCTTTTTTGATTTTTTAAGAATGACATGTTGGTTGAATTTGAAAATGAACTTCCATGTGCATGGTGCTGTAATGCACATAAATCATAAATGAGAATTTCATTCTAAAAAACACCAAATACATGTATAAAAATAAATAAATCTAATCAAATTATTATTTGGAATGTACGTTTCTTGCAGGATATTCTGAAGACAGTGATGACATGAAAGTTCAAGATTTGCCTATTGTGAGCATTGTAAGGATAATTTTATAACATATTATATGTGACATTATTACATGTATTTAGTTATTATGCCTAATTGGAAGAAACAAAGAAAGGATATTTTAATTTTGCTCAGTTGCACCAATATCTGTTATACATGTGTATCTATGTAAAAAAATCCTGTGGATAATTTTTCAGACAGAGAGATAGAGAGAGGGAGGGCTTTTGATAATTGAAAATCATGCATCCGTTACTTTTTTAACTTTGTTCAAATGATTTATTCACATTCTTTTTTTTTTCTCTTTCAGCAGATACCTCGGTAATACAGAATGGATCAAAAAATGCACAAAGGTTAATCACATCATGCTGCATTGCAGTGAGTTTATATGCAGAGAAATTTGCCATTAAATGAGATTTTTAAAAAATAGAAATAAACTGTAAAACACACTTGGCTGTATGTTTATGCAAACAATTTTTTGAACTGCAAATTATACCAATACATGATTCAGCATATTCTGCACACTTAAAATGATTTACATACATGTATCTGTTTGATTTGCAAGTAGTGCAATGCAATTTGTCAGTATTGTTCATTCATGCAGTTCTCTTGGTGATCTAACTGCAAATACATGCATATATATTTTATTTGTACAAATTAAGTTAAGAGGATTGTATTAATGTAATATTCATATTTGTATTTCAGCTGTAACAGAACAATTTATCTGATGCAAGCATCAACCATGAGAATAACAAAGGAGGTTAGGTCCAAAGAGAAGGTATGTTTATAAGTGGTGATGATATGTTATTGATGTAAATAGATTATAGCAATTAAATAGAAAGAACAATTGTAATTTTGCCAGTCAGAAAAAAACGAAATGAAAATTTTTTTTAGCTCAACTGAGTCGAAGGCTCAAGGCATAGGGACTTGAGACAATCTTAGCAAAATCGGGTATATAGTATAAAAGGGCTCCCCTATTATACTATAGCTATATACCCGATTTTGCTAAGATTGTCTCAAGTCCCTGTGGCTCAAGGTAGCCTTTCTGATGAAAATTTGTCTGTTGTCTGTCGTTGTTGTCATTGTAAACTTTTCACATTTTCATCTTCTTCTCAAGAACCACTGGACCAATTTCAAACAAACTTGGCACAGATTATCCTTGGGTAAAGGGGATTCAAGTTTGTTCAAATGAAGGGCCACACCCTCTTTCAAGGGGAGATAACTAAGAAATAGTGAAAATTGGCTGTATTTAAAAATCTTCTTCTCAAGAACCGGAGGGCTAGAAAAAAAAATTAAATTTAAGTGAAAGCTGCTTGACAAAATGTAGATTCAGGTTTGTTCAAATCCCCAGGGGTAGGGTGGGGCCATAATAACCGATCAAAGTTTTACATAGAAATATATAGGAAAAATTCTAAAAAATCTTCTTCTCAAGAACAGCATAGCCATGATTGATGATTTTCATATGGAAGCATCCTCAGTTAGTGTAGATTCAGATTTGTTCAAATCATAACCCCAGGGGGTAGGGTGGGGCCATAATAAAGCCAGTCAAAGTTTTACATAGAAATATATAGGAAAAATTCTTAAAAATCATCTTCTCATGAACAGTAAAGCCATGATTGGTGATATGTATATGGAAGCATGCATCCCCAAGTGTTAGTCAAGGTAGTGTAGATTCAAGTTTGTTCAAATCATGACCCCTTGGAATAAGGTGGGGTCATAATGGCCAATCAAATTTTACATAAAAATATATAGAAAAATCTTTTAAAATCTTCTTCTCAAGAACAGCAAAGTTATATGCTATATGGATATTGAGGCAACCTCAAGTAGTTTAGTAGTATAAAATCCCCCCCCCCCCCTGTAAACTTTTCAATACTGAACTGATTTGTGCTTTTTCCTAGCCGATGTGCTCAGGTGAACACATGGGCCTCTTGTTAAAGTCTTAATTCTTGTCAAGAACAGACAGGTCATGATAAGTCATTATACTCATATTATCTTGCTAGCATCCTCTGAGATAGTGCAGAGCAGATTCAGATTTTTTCGAACCATATTCCCTGTGGGTAGTGTAGGGCCACAGTGGGGAATCAAAGTTTTATTCTGAAATATTTAGGGTAAAAGCCTTTTAAAAGTCAGGCCCACCATAAATCATATTATTATGCATGAATAAATTCATCTTAGTAAAGAATCCCATAATCCAGGGTTAAGGATGGGCCATAATTAGGGGTAAAATATTTATCTGGAAATAGTTAAGGAGGGGGGGGGGATCTTATGTAAATATTGGAAAATCCTTTTTGTTCATTTCATGGATCTTAGGCTAAGAGGGGGCTAAAATAAGTTTTCATAATTTTATTTCCAATTTTAAGGAGACTTAAGTTTGTTTTTTATCTTTCTGTCTTTCAATTAATCTTTAAACATCAAACTAGTTGCAACTTAAAATAGCTGGTTATGAATAATCAACAGAGTTCACAAACTGTATGTGGTTAAAATATCTACAAATATCAGAGAAAGGAAAACAATATTTTGGGGCATAGAAAAGGGGCTTAACTCCTATCATTACAACACGTGAAAAATGTGTGTTGTTGAGAAACATTTGAATATAGTGCAGTCTAATTAAGTACAGCTAAACTTCAGTATCTTAAAATCAAACAATTTCGACTACCTGGGGTATGTTGACATTCATCATTATTACCTAGATAAATGATTTGCTAACACTTGGAAATGCATATGATTTATTTATATTTAATTGGTTTATTTTGTACAAATCTTTTTCTCATGCATATTATTTATGAACATTATTATACCTCTACTGATTTTTTCCCTGTATAACATTAGATCGTTAGATGTGACTATTTCCATAGAAATTGTTAAGAATGGACTATGGACTAATCCCCAAGTGTTAGTCAAGTGAGCTAATCCCTGCTTCGAAAGGTAATTCCCGGTTATCCATAATCCTCTAGGTTTTACTTTAACATTGGTATATGTGAATGGACTAATCCCATGTGTTAGTTCAGTGAGCTAATCCCTGCTTTGAAATCACGCTATCTGAATCCTCTAAATTTTACGTTTGTATCGGTATAATAAAACAGTTAAAAGTATATCATTGAGGGAGTTAGCAAAATTCCAGTTCCCCTCGACTAGGACTATTTCCCTCGGCTTCGCCGTGGGAAGTAGTCCTGGCCTTGGGGAACTGGAATCTTGCTAACTCCCTCAATGAAATACTTTAACTGGATAATAATAAATTGATTTTGCATCTATATATGGCATATACTACTATTCCAATAACAGCATGTAACTTTGTTTGATAAAGCATGCAGTTTCCCATGTTGATCACCATATTTTTCATTGATTTGACATTTAATTTCAATAATAAGAAATACTATTTTGCACATGAACAGAGAAGCCGACAATGGTTTTGACTGACCATGTGTTGTTGCTTATTACAAATGCTGTCATTGTAAACAATCATTCAATGCGACTGCTCAGTATTATCAGTGTGTTGCTGGATTCTCTATTTCATATGCAAAGTAGTATTCATTTCAATGAAATTTAACATCCAGTCAATGAGAAATATGGTGTTCAACATATGAAACTTAAGCGTGCTTGATCTAACAAAGGGGCACGCTGTTACTAATATGATAATATGATTTTTTTTTTTTATACTCAGTTTAGGGTTCAACTTTGGTATCTCGAACACTGAGTGATATCTTGATCACTATGGAGATGTCAAAGTCATTTTGAAGTCCCTTGAACCACATTTGTCTTCTTTGTATGTTACCCTCAAGCTCTCAACCCCTTGAATATCTCAAAGTTTTTCATCGGTCCCATTGAGTTCAAGATAATAAGGCTTGACTGTATTATATTGATTCAAATTAATGGATGATGCATTATAAATAAAGCAATCTTATATATTATTGCATTTATATTTTCCAGGCAATGTAACAAATGATTGCTGAATTCATGAGGATTGGGATGAATCTTTTCTATTCTTAAGAAGTGTCCAAACATCATTTGAGGATCCCTTCCTATGAAAAGAAGAATTTGCCTATTCAGAGAGTCCATAGTTTACAAAATATTATGTAACATAAAACTTCTGTCTTCATATTTTATTCAATTATAAAACAGTAGTAGAATATGTTTAGAAAAAAGTAGGGGGCTATAACTATCTCTCTCTGGTACTGCATGTCTAATATACATGTATTACGTATTTTAATTACACATGTATTTTAAAACAGATTATCAGTAAAAGAAAGAAACACAATGTTAGTCTTTCAGTGGCTTTTATTTAGGTTTTAATATTATTTAAAAAAAATGGAACTTGAATCTGTTTAAATAGGAAGGAAAACAAAAAACTAGAATTCAGTAGGTACATGTACATGTATTTAGTTTTGTTTATTATAAGTTGTTTAAAATTTAGGGAGCTTGTGAAGGATATCTAGATATTATTAAAAAATTTATTCTTCATAGTTAAACAATTTAATTTTTATTATAACATATGCTCTGTAATTAACAACTTCATTTGTTGTACAACATTCCATTGTCTGTCAACCTGTAGGAGTTCATTTCTTGTAAATAAAAATGAATACATGATGTTTGTTCACATTGCCATTTTTTTTTATATACGAGTCCTGAGTTATAAATTTTGTACATACCTGTATGTACATTTTTTGTTAAATAATTTAACTTTAACCAAATATTAATTGAATGTAATTTTGTAGGTAGATACCTTCCAGAAATATTTACATCTACCAGATACATGTGAAATCAAATACTGTATACTTGAAAATAAGGATATTTATTAAATGGAAATTAAGTTACACATTCATGTATAGTGAAATTAGATAGACTGTGTTGTTGTTATGTTTATACTAACTCAACATAAACATCGATTGGATGTGATCCTGATTAATTAAATAAAGGATATGAAACCATAATAATTTCTTTCCTTTTTTTTTTTTTTTACAATTAATAACACTTTACAACTATCAGACTTGATGGATCTAAATTGATAAAAGAAATTGACTATACCATTAAAAAATTCTTGAGTTGTCTCTCTTTGTGGAAATAATTATCTGTTGCAATGAATGCTCCCTTGGGTTCATGACCCTGAATATTGATAAGGTTGGGAGGTGTGTATAGGGGCCCTCAGATATAGCGCGAGTCCAATTGAATATGGCGGACAGATTCTTTTTACGAAGAGTGTTCAGCTTTAAGCTTGCTGCAAGACTTTTATTAACTTCCAGTAGAAACTACTATGACATCGTGGAATTTTTCTGTCACCACTGGCAAAAATTCAAGCCCCAGGCTTCCTTATATCAAAACGTCATGAGGTATATATC